GTGTCAGAGGCAATGAGATTGGCACAGGATAGAGCATGGTTTAGGGCTGTTGTATATAGGGTCGCTATGAGTCGCAAATGACTCAACAGCATATAGCAACAACAACAAGAACAACCTCTAAAGGCAGCTTTGGTCAAAGTCAACATTGTACTTTGAACTACTTTAAAAACCTCTCTCTCTTTCTTTACTGCAAATCATATTACACATTTCAGCATATGATCATGTCTTGGCATCATTATAACTGACTATTCTAGGTTCCTCTGCACTGAAGTCTGGGACCCTTAGCAGGACCTGTGCAGCCCTTGATGTGATTCTTGGTGCTTCTTTTAGATGCTTTTCCTATAGCAGTCTAGGTATGGTCTAGGCAAACTAAACCTGACTCGGCTCCCTGAAAATGCAGTAGAATCCTTTCACCTGGGCCCTTGTGTGTGCCTTTGTCACAGTCTGAACCCCCTTCTCATGTCCCCTCCGACAGCCTCTTTGCCCGAGCACGCTCACATCTCAGCTTAGGTGCCCCCTCTCTCAGGAGCTCTCCCCTTAGTCCCCTGGTCAAGATTCCTATGACTCCAACTGCGATTGAGTCGACTTGGCCTCCTAGTGACCTTATAAGACAGCAGAATTTCCTCGTGGGGTTCCTGGGGCTGTGCAAAGTGATGACTACATCCTCTTTCTCCAGTGGAGTGGCCAGGGGGATTGAAGTCTCAACTCTCTGGCTAGCAGTTGAATGTCTTAACGACCATACCACTGGGGTTATGTTCTCTTTTAAGTGTTCCATGATAATCATGTCTACTCAAGCAGGGCATCAGCTGCCCCCTAAGCTGTCATTGCCTCTTTACTTGTTGGCAGCCCAATAGGCTCGGGAGTTAAACAGGAAGTGGAAACCCTCCTGTTTAGGAAATAGGAAAGCCTGTTCCTTTCTTTTCGTGAGAGGTTAGCAAAGTCTCTAAAACATAGTCACCGCTTCATTTCTGTTCTTGGGTGAGTGAATGAAGAACATCTCTAGAGACCTCAGACTTGAGACCTAATTTAGTTTGAAATACGTCATCTAACAAACATCTGAAATGCACTTCGGCTTGTTGTTAATCAGTAAAACTCGGACCCTTGAGACTGCTGCTCAGTAACGTAAATGAAAGCAAAGCAGTAAGAGCTTTCTTGTTTTTGCCTACACACTTAGAAGCAGTGGATAAAGGTGTGATGTTGAAAAAGATCCTTTTCATTCTATGGAACTTTTTAATCTGGCAGGAATATTTGTTTAGTAAAAGAAGGAATTAAATCATGGAAACAGACAGAAAAAAAAAGAGGAGGAGGAGGAAAATAAGAAGGTGGATGAAGAAGAGGAAAAAGGGAAGGAGGAGGGGAGGATAAAGAGGGGAAGAAGTCCCCACTCAGTGCTTGCAGTGAAATCCCTGTGACTCAGAGGACTTCTCAGTGGATCCTCATTGGGTACGTGCATTTGCTGGTGGCAGGAAGTGGAAATAATCTATATGCAGAACAGATAATCTGGGAGGCTGGTCTCTGTGTGGGGAAATGTAGCATCAGGATTGTAGGAAGATTCATCAATAATCTGCGTTATGCAGAAGATATAGTCCTACTTGCTGAAACTATGGCATTTGCTGCAGAAGGTCAAGGACTATAGCCCTCAATATGGATTGAGGCTCAATATCAAGAAGACAAAGATTTTCACCACTGGGCCCACTGGCAGCATCTGGATGGATGGTGAAGAGATTGATATTGTTAACAGCTTTAGTTTACTTGCCTCCACAATCAACACTCTTGGTACCAGTAGCCAGGAAATGAAGAGACAAATTGCAGTGGTAAAGATGGCTGTCAGGGACCTCTCCAAAGTACTGAAGAACAACAATGTCAGTCTGGAGACTAAGGTGCACCTGATTCAGGCCATGGTCTTCACAATCACTTGCTATACATTCGAGAGCTGGACAATGACTAGGGATGATAGAAAGAGAATTGATGCCTTTGAGCTGTGGTTCTGGAGACGAGAATTAAATACGCCATGGACTGCTAGGAGAACAAACAGGTTTGTCCTGGAGAGGGTGAAGCCAGGCTGCTCCTTGGAGGCAAGGATTCTGAAGCTTCGCCTGACATACTTTGGGCATGTTGCAAGAAGGGACTGGTCTTTGGAGAGTGACATGATGCTTGGAACGGTGGAAGGACAAAGAGAAGGAGACCATTTATGGGATGGATTGATTCAGTGACTGGAGTAATGAAGGTTAGGTATGTTGGAGACAGTAAAGCTGGCACAAGATAGAGCAGGTTTCAGGGCTGTTGTACGTAGGGTTGTTATGAGTGTTAAGCGACTCGATGTCACTTAACAACAGCAGCAAGGACTCACCTTTGAAGAAGATTAAATTCAAGAGAACCAAGAGCGTGTCTTGGCTGAAGTCTTGCAGGCAGCCGGCCACTCGCCCGTATGTTCGTTTTCTCACGTACTCATTGATCTGCCTCCTCATCTCAGCCGACTCTGTGAAGTTGCCTGAGAACGCAAGCGCTCCGTACAGCTCCCTAATGCTGTCCAGAAACCCCTGTTGCGGCTTGAGCTGCTTGTCCAGGAAAAGGGAGGTGCCTACTTTCAGTTCGAGTTTGGGGCTGGGCAGGTCCAGGGTGAGGAGGAGGCTTTGGAAGCCGCGGTGGAGGTCAGCTTCTGCAGTCTCGGTGAGGTTGAAGCCCAGACCCTCCAGGATCTGAGTCTGAGTGTCTGCCTGGGTCCCGAGAGAGAGCAGGGCCAGGGTGGCGGAGAGGCTCACAGGGGAGAAGAAGATGTTGCCGGGGTCCCCTGCTGCCAACCGCTTGTACAGCCGCAAGGCAAAACTGGTGATGGTGGGTGTGACCTTGTGGTAGGCCGGGACTGGCCCCGGGAGCTGGTCACTGGGGGCCTGCGGCAGAACCAAATTCTTACCTCCATGTGCAGGAAAGGGCTGGCAGACCAGGACTCCTGCCCCCAGCAGCCACAGCCAAGACGGCCCCATCCTCTGAAAACAAGATGGTCCATGTGTCACTCTCCAGTGTAAATAACTCCATGGTTCTCCGTCACTTCCCCAACACACCTGACCATTCACACAGTAACCTGTACGGAGGCCATGAGGGGTCCTGCAGCAGACAAGCAGTCAGTGCCTGGTCTGGTCAGAGGGCTGGGTGGGTTTTAAGGCTGGCAGTGGATGGAGGTGAGGACCTTGACCACAAGGTTCCAATTCCATCACACTCCTTTAACTGCTTTATGTATTGATGAGTCTGGATAGGAAGACATGGCTAAGCTAAGGACTCTACTGTAAAAAGAAAACACAGAACAATCCCATAATCTGTTTCACCACCCTTCATTTCTTCTCCTTTTCACTTGTTGTTTTTGTTGTTGTTACGTGCCATCGAGTCTCCTGCAACTCATAGCGACCCTGTGTACAAGAGCCCTAAATGCCGTTCTATCCTGTGTCAACCTCGCCGTCTCAAACACACTCATTCCCAGCACTCCACTCACAGAATCGATCCATCTCATCGAGGGTCTTCCTCTCCTGCGCTGTCCCTCCACTCTGCTAAACATGACATCCCTCTCCAAGTACCAGCCCCTCCTTGCAACATGCCCAAAGTCTGTCAGATGACGCTTCAGAATCCTTGACTCTAAGGAACATTCTGGCTTCACCCTCTCCAGGACAAACCTGTTTATTCTCCAAACAGTCCATAGTATATTCAGCACTCTTCTCCAATACCACAGCTCGAAGGCATCAATTCTCCTTCTATCATCCCTATTCACTGTCCAACTCTCTGATGCATAGCACGTAATTGTGAAGATTATGGCCTGGATCAGGCGCACCGTAGTCTCCAGCCTGACATTGTTGCTCTTCAGTACTCTTGAGAGGTCCCTCACAGCTGACTTTCCCAATGCAATTCGTCTCTTGATTTCCTGGCTGCTGCTACCAAGAGTGTTGACTGTGCAACCAAGCAGACTAAAACTGCTTTTTTTCACTCGCTGTCTTCCTCCCTCCTTCCCTAAAGGGAGGCTTAGTCATGAAGATACATGATGAGCTCTATTTTGCAAATGAAAAACTGAAGCCATGCAAAGGGGAATGACTTGCTCCTCCCTCCCTTTCTTTGTTCGTCTTTGTTTCCAGTTAGTCCTTCAATGGTGCCTTCCATCCCAGGTCTGGAGACTTGGAGGCGAGTCCTGTAAGCAGTGAGGGAAGGAAATCAGCCGTTGCTGACTGCAGGGAGCTCAGAATGTAGTTGACCTACTGGGCTCTCTTACAGCTTGGTGAGGTCATGTGATTGGTGATTCTCTCACTAATCAGAAGGAAGAATGAGGCATGAAAACTCGGAGGAAGAAGATGGAGCTGGAGTGAAGCTGTGATGATCTGGGACCATCCTGATAAGGGCAACCTTGGGGGAGTGGACAAGCACAGGCCAGCAGAGCCTGGGAGGAGTCAGAGCTCTGTCTCCATCTGTTCTCTGTGAATTTGAGTATCTTTGTCACACACAGTAACAAAGTCCTAATTGATGCAAGGTTTTAGGGAAAATATCCTGGTGCTTTTTCTAAATCAATACTACCGTTGTTGTTATTGTCATTATGTGCCACTTGTGACATGTAGCCACCCTGTGTACAAAAGCTCTGAACTCGACTCTACCCTGAGCCAGACCTACTGTCTCCAACACACCTACCCCATTATTCCAGCTACTCTGCTGATCCTCCTCATCCTGGGCCTTCCTCTCCTGCGCTGTCCCTCCACCCTTCCAAGCATGATGTCCTTCTCTGGGGACTGGTCCCTCCTGGTCACGTGCTTTTCTTGAAACTTGATTTAAAATTTATAAAGAACATTGGTTTTCTGTTGGACAGTCCACACATGTTTAGTTTGAAGACATCTCTTACAATATGTACATTGTAACTATCCTGTGCTGTACATAGAGTGACTAAGGATGATGCAATGACTGAGGATGATACAAGAAGAATAGCTGCTTTCGAGTTGTGGTGCTGGAGAAGAGTCTTGAATGTACCATGGACTGCCAAGAAAACAAATAGATCTGTCTTGGAGAGAATGAAACCAAGTCTCTCCTTGGAGGCTAGGATTTTGAAGCTCTGCCTTACTTACTTCGGGCACATGGCCAGGAGAGAGAGATCAGTCCTTGGAGAAGGACATCATGCTCAGAAGGGTGGATGGACCTCACAGGAGAGGGAGACCCCTGATGAGATGGATTGACACAGTAACTGAGGAGATGGGGGTTGGTGTGTCAGAGTTGGCGAGACTGGCTCAGGACAGGGAAGGGTTCAGAGCTGCTGTACATAGGGTCGCTGTACATCACAAGTGACTCAAGGGCATATAAAAACAAAGGCATACAGGTTTGGAAGCAGGAGTGTCTTCTACTTCCTAAATAACATGCCTCCAGAAACTCTACAAACTTTGATAAGAATCGATAGTTATAGGAAAGCTTCGGGGCTTTTGTTCATAGGGTCACTATGAGTTGTGCTTGATTCCAAGGCATCAACATCAACAACAACAACAACAACTATCCTCTAAAATAACTGTAACTAAATTTCTTCCCTGTGATTCTCATATTTTTACTAATATTTTATCCTTCACATGCATTGTGTTTCGTCCATGTCCACTGTGCTTGGTGCATGTCTGTTGTGTTTTATAGTCATTTGTTTACATTATTTGGTTTCTTTATATGGTGAGTGATTCTCATTCATCCTCACATCCTGCCCTCTGATCTTTATCTCTGGGCGAATGCTGCTGCCTTTTGTGTCCTGAGTTAGAGAATGTGTAAGCAGACAGCTGTCCTCCTTGGGGGCGGGGTGGGGGAGAGGGGAGTGAAGCCTGAGAAGCAGACTTCTTAGGAGCAGCTCCAGTTTGAGCGGGTCTGATGTGTAGACAATGCTCACTCTGTCGGCTGTCCTCCTTTCCTCAAGTCCCCCCAGGGACACAGGTCCATGAAACCACCTTGTTGACATAATGTCCTCTGTGAAGGAGGATGTCAACGCTGGCCCCCTCCCACTCCCATTTCCACAGCTTCAAACTGCACTGGCCTTGGTGTCAGCCTGCTCCAACGGCCTTTGTGTGTTCACCAGCACCTTTGATACTCTCTGCCCGAGTGAGTGACCTCTGAATCAGTCCAAAGCTCTGGGACAGTGAGGGAGAGATCGCATCTGTGCACCTGGCTGGGAGCCACTGAAGCCACATACACCCCACCGAACCAGAGAGGGAAGTGGTCAGGGGAGGTGAGGGCAGCCTTGGATTCTGTGATGTTGAAACTCACTGACTGGTCAAAGTACTGTGGTTAACGTCCCTGTGACACTCACATCTCCCCCAGATTCTGAGGGGAACGTCTCAATGCCCCTCACATCTCATCCTAGCACTGGAGGTAACATTCCAGTGACTCTCACATCCCCCTCCCCCTAACACACACACTGTCAGTACACGTCAGGCTTTCCTCTGAAGAGACATTTGCACAACGTGGAACAATTTCTAAAGTTAGTTCATCCCAGGTAAAATAAAAATGAGGGCTGTGATTAACCTCTTTTTGGATTATTACTTTTATTTCACTCAACTCATAGCTCTTTACCCCTGAAGCACCCCAAAGGGAGCACTGGTGACTTGATGGTAAGGAATTGTGCTCTCAACAGCCAGGTATGTGGTTTGAAACCACCAGATGCTCCACAGGAAAAAGACAATCTCCTCCCACGTGATTTATTACCTCTGAAAACCCACTAACTAGATGGTACACAACAACAACAACAATATATCTGCTGAAACAACAAAGTATACAAAGCTAGTGCTCGCTTCGGCAGCACATATACTAAAATTGGAATGATACAGAGAAGATTAGCATGGCCCCTGCGCAAGGATGACACGCAAATTCGTGAAGCGTTCCATATTTTTCAAAAGGGGGGAAATATGGGAAGCCAAACTTTACACCAAATATTATATGAAAACCCTTGTTCAGGAATTGAAGGAATTACAGATTTATAAGTTAGGATTTCTCTT